CGAATACGTTTGCATTCTCCCAAAAATTTTCTGAAGTTGCTATGGAATACAATCGAGGATTGCTTCACAAAACATTTTACGATAAAATTTTCTTTGTAACTGAATGATAACGTTCCTTCCGATATCTTTCGCGAAATATTTTACGAAACATCAGAAATGTTTCCAATATCTCACAAAAACACCAGTAATATCTGAGTATTTTCAAAATAATATTCACATGTTTCGGATCATCTCTTTGATGTGCAAACTCTCGTTGACGAAGGAAACTTTTCGCAATTTCATCTTTAGCAACGAGTGAATCCAACCTCCGATCACGCCGAAATACCAGCATCCTTCAAACCAAATTAAGGTTCAAATGAATCAATTATGAGAAATTTACATTGTTCGAATCTACTGTTTGACAGTGAAAAATCTCATCAATTTTATTCAAATTTTATTCGCCTCAAGAAGAAGTATGCTATAAATAAAGGCATATACTCCGAACGTCCGAGTCTATCATTTCAAGAGATAAAAATATACATCATGGCAGATGAATTGATATCATACAGGAATTCACTGAACTTACAAGTAGCCAATGTTGTAAACGAGTACAATACCCAACCCAATTAACGTATATCTCATGATCGTAGACCACTGCCGTTGGTTACGTAATCTAATCTCTTCAGCTGTCATATGTTCGGCTTTATAGCCAGTTGCATTCTCCCAAAACATTCTCCAATCACGTCTGGAATTGTTAATTTTATGATGATCTCGGTTCTGAAATGATGAGATAAAACAATCTCGACTTATAATATACACCGTTATAAATTCTGTTAAAATCACGGCGTAACAATTCCTTTCCTGAAATCCCGAAAATACTTGCCGTCCCTGAAGATCTCGAAGATAATTACCCACTCCTCTTTCCAAGTTCTGAAGGTGACTACCACTCCTTTCCGATATCGCAACGACAAATACCAGAAAACAGACTCATCGAACCTTTTATCTGGCCCGATTTTATTAGCATCTAATTGATGGAGCAGCTGATCAGTGGAAGTCCTACTCACCCTTGCCCTTCGTACTGCGGAGGTGGTCCATAACCATGATAGTAGTGTCGACGATGACTTGCAGAAGACCGCTGATTTTGTGGACCATATCTCATATACTGGCCAGATAATTTCTCATCATAAATCCTCCTATCAGCAGGTCTCCTCAGAATGTCATACGCTTCTTTCAGTTCAACAAACAAGCGATGCATCTTTTCACGCTCTTCTGCTGATATATTATTCGCACCACTATCTGGATGTAACTGAAATTTTACCGTAAGCATACTAATCAAGAATAATATCTCAATCTTTGAAAGAGTCTCATCCGATGTTCATACCCTTGAAACACGTCGAAATGGAATACTAAGAGGTTTCCAGATGAATAGTGCGTGGAAGGGTTCTCGCACGGGGGCTCTATCGTTAGGGTGAGAATATCAAAGGAGGATCACATTATGCCATCCACAGTACAGTCAAAAACTCCCCAACCACCAATTTCAGATGAACACACACTTTCAAAATGAAAATTATTGCACAGACAGAACATCCAACTATAAAAACTAGTACAACTACATTGGTCTCGCCATTCAGTTCCTTCAATAAATATATAATGATTGAATAGAAACTTCAACAAATAAAACCATTAAACAGAACACGAACGAACCAGATGCAAATGAAATTGACATTACTTAACGTCATAAAAATAAAACTTCACAATAAAGAGAATATATTGCTACACTTACAAGTTTACATTTTTTATAGTAGGCATTCTTGATTTCAGTTTGCGTGGCTTTCTGATCGACACCCAACACTTTATAATGATCGAGTCTACAAAGAAGATAACATCTCAAAATTACCATACAACTTGAAGATGAACTCAATAACCGAGAAAAATAACTGCTTTTTTGGGATTGAATTGAAAAGAGAATGAATAATCACCAATTAAAACTGTAAATTCGGATTTACATTGAAATTTGATGGACAACTTCAAAATGTCGAGAAAATCCTACTTCTGTGATGCTAGC